TAACCTACAAGGGTCCCTATTGAGGGTCCCTCCTAAAGCCCGTAGACACAGGTAAGATGTTGTGCGTGTGAGTGCATGTGTAGGCACACTGTTCATATAACAAGTGTATGCAACGTGTATATGTGTTTGTACATACATACATACATACATACATATATAAACACAAGGACATGTGTGTGTGTACGACGTGTACAGTAGATGTATACAGTATACAATATACTGTAGGCGATAGATGAGAGGGCATCACCATCACGACTGACGTGCACAGGGTGGGGGGATATGATGTGCACACAGACACCAAGCAGGTGGGGATGTGGTGCAGCTGGGTGGGGGTGGGCAGGGGGCAGCCAAAATCTTCTTTTGGGGTTTGGGGTTTCCGCAGTGGTTCGGGATTTGTCAGCATTCACGTTTCCTGCGCTCGGATGCCGCCCGGGGGCTCGCTCGGAGGCTCACGCGGAAAACTTCCAAAGCGGGTTTAGGGTCGCTCCTGGCTACCGCCTACGCTGCAAGCCTTGGGGCGCAGCCGCTAGACTTTAGTCATTGCTACAGAAGCAATCATGCAGTGACAAGTGACGCGGTGTGGCCGTCACATGACCCTCCCCTCCCGGCGTCTTCAAGCTCTATGATACTCGTAAGAGCAAATTACATGCATAGACATTGATGTTTTCCATTCGCACACATCACATCACACACACGCATACTATTACTGCGACTGTTCAGTTGTTTTTGTAACTCCTTTTTGCGGTTGCTATCATTGTCTAAGTCAGCAGCTTTCCGACTTCCTGATGTTGTTTTGGTGCTGACGAGTGTGTTTGCTAGTTGCTCTGTGTTGTCAGCATGATTCTTGCCATGCCTATGTTCATGGTTGAGAATGTGAGCGTTAATTACTAGCTGTGTTTGTACATATATATGTAGATACTCACACATACATATGCTATATTTATATATGCACATAGGCACACATGCGTGTGTATATATATATATACATATCTTATAAATACATAAAGATATATGTGTATATACTGTGCATGTATATGTATCTGTATACATCTGTATATACGTCTATACACATATATGCTCTTGGCTACATACATGCGTCTATATATATATACACATATGCATCTGTACATATGTATATATACATACACGTATGTACATGTACATACATATATATATATATGTGTATGTATATGTATATGCAGAATGTTCTATGTATAAATAAATAAATATAAATATAAATATATATATATATACATACATACATATGTGTGTGTTCATACGTTCATGTATGTGTGTCTATATGTATATATATATATATATATGCATGTGTGCAGCATTTGTGTATCTCTGTACCTATGTATATATGTATGTATGTATATATATATATAGGCAATGCATGTATATGCATATGTATATGTAGATGTACATGTATATGTATATGTAGATGCATATATATATATATACATATGTACATACCTATATGTTGAAAACATATGTATATCTATATACACGTATATATATATATATATATGTGTATATATATATATATGTACGCATATATATATATACATACGTATATATATATATATATACATACATATATACGTACAGACATACTCATATATGTACATGCAGACATGCTGAATTCTCGGGCCTCCGCAGCTGTTGTTGAGGCTCCCGGCACCGCTACACTCCGCCGGGGGCCCCGAAGAGAAAGAAACGCAGGGCTTCGGGGTGCTGAGGTTGTTTTAGTGTTTCAAGGCTTTCAGGATTGGGGCAGGCATTCTAGGACAAAAATTGGGGGTCGGGTGTTAGGTTTCACAGGGTGCTAAGACTTTAAGACATTGGGTGTGCAGGTGGACCTGTCCGGTACAAGGCAGGGTGGTGTTCTTCGGAGGCCAAAGTCGTCATTCCAATCCAGTTTGCACGACAGCAACTCGATATGCGTAGTTCGTCATGTTTGCTCGATTGTATTTATTGTCAGATTTATTGCTGGTGGTCTCAGGCTGGGCTTCGGACCTGCTCTTTCTTGTTTTGTCTTTCCGCATCTGGCTCGAGTGCCACGGCCGCTTGCGATTGGCAACGATGGCCTGGTTCAAGGCGGGGGCGACGTGAGCTTCCCCCTCAAGACGATGACGAAGCAATTCGAGCTTGCATTAACCTTCAACCTTCCAACTTGGCATTTTGCAGAAGCTGGGGCTCCAAAAAGGGATCCAGGCCAAAGGTAATCCGGGACCCCATCAACCCTAAAAGCAACGCCCAAACGAGTCAAGAACAAGGATCCGAAAGGGAGGCTCACACGGACATCACAAGAAAGGAAAGTAAGGGGACCCCAACAAGAGATTTTGAAAGGGACTGCCAAAGGGATGCCAAGGACAACCCGAAAGAGACCAAAAAGGAACCCAAGCACATACACACATGAAGCCACGACGCACGCCTACCCCAAAGCAAAAAACGCCTAAACCCCTAAAGGTGTCAAAAAACACCAACCCCTAAACCACCGGTCTTCAGCTGCTCAGTCACTGACCAGGTGACTCTGGTTGGCCAGTTGGCCCTGGCGGCGTTTGCACAGACACAATGTGCAGGGCTCAACAGTCTCACAAATTGACTAGATTAATGTGTGCACAGGTGCATTTATGCACATGTGACACGTATATGTGTACACATAATGTATTTAGGTAGATAGACAGATAAGCAGATAAATAAATTCAAGAGATCAGTGGCTAGATACACAAATAGATACATAGATAGCTAAGCCGATAGGTAAGTAGATGGATAGATAGATCGATAGCTTGATGGATCGATAGATCGATATTTAGATAGATAGGTCGATAGATTTTTAGATAAGTTTTTCGATAGATAGATAGATAAATAGATAGACAGGTAGATAGATTTGTAGATAGAAATCTAGATAGGTAGATAGATAGCTAGATTTATTTTTAGTTAGATAGATAGCTAGATCGATAGATAGAAATTATGGATGTTGATAGATGGATAGATCGAGGGTGGAAGGATGGACAGATGCATGGATGGATGGTGCTGTGTGCGCATGTGTGTGCGCGCGTGTTTCTCAATGTACACACAAACCCTAAACCCTGAACCCTGAACCCTGAACCCTGAACCCTGAACCCTAAACCCTAAACCCTAAACCCTGAACCCTGAACCCTGAACCCCAAACCCTAAACCCTCAACCCTCAACCCGCAACCCTCAACCCCTAAGCCCCTAAACCCCTAAAATCCCTAAACCCCGCGCTGTCTGGCGAGGCGAAGAGCCGAGTGGATTCCCGTCATCCACAGGCGCAGATAGAAGCCTCTTCAAGTTCTTCGCATCTGTCGCAGCCAGCCTGAAGTGATCCCCAGCTCTCTTGCTTTTTTTGTCGACTTGGGTCCCTTAGAAATCTAGAAGAAGTATAGACTCTCCTCTTGGGCTCTGATGACTCTTCTTTGATGCTCCATGGACTAAGGACTTCATGCCCTTCTACTTCACGAAAATGGCGGGCTTTTGCCGCAGCGGTCCTTCCTGGAATCAAGAGCCGGCTCCCGAGTGAACATTAGAAGCTGCCCTCTGCGAATCAATATGATACTCATGATAGTATATGGGTAGTTCTCCAAATTAAGGCCCCGTTTAGGGGTCCTGTTTACAGGGGTTCTGTACTAGTTTGGAGGCCTAAACAGTCACCCCAATGTGGAGACTTACCGATATGATAATGAGAATAAGGACTACACTAGTTGGGTTCTCTGCTTTTGGACAACATTGGCCTTCAGTTCGCCAGCACCTATGATAGCTTTCCAGAAAATGCACCTAACCAGGCATGCTTTATAGAAGTGTGTGCGCAGCGAACGCAGCTGAAGCACATGCTGCGACATGGTGGCAAACCGTGACGGCTCGTCGAGGGCGCCCATTTTAGCCGGAGAAGGATTGCCTTGCTGCTTGCACTGCCGGTGCGACTTTGAGCTCTTGATGCTTTGTCAGCGTGGGACTCCTTTGCGCCAGTCTTCAGCGACAGACATTTAAAGGCTGCAAGTATAAATAGCAGCTGTTTGTGTGGTGTAAGGCCAGCGCTGAAGACCAATGCAGGGGAAGTTCATTCGGGCCCGCAAAACACAGTGGGAGGCCTGGGATCGTTCCGGAATTGATGCTGCTGTGAATCTGGATGTCAATGTCGACTTCTTCCTTTTTCTTGGCTAGTTGTTTTTCTTGGCTAATGGTTGAGGTAGTTGTTTCGGTAGTGGTAGTGGTTGTCGTGGCAGCGTTAGCTTCGGTGGCGGGAGTGGTAGCGGCAGAAGTCTGTTGTCCTTGTATCTCGGTGGTGGCGGTCATGGTCTGGTTAGAACACTAGTCACTAGTACGATTCAGTAAGAAGCTTTGGTATAAGCAGTAGAGGGCTAGCTTGCAGTTAGTCGTCATAGTGACAGTGACAGGACTAGCCTAACAGAAGCAGAAATGCCAATTGATGCAACAACTGGTAGCGTTGGTGGTCACGGTACTAGCTGTCGGAGCTCAGTCTGTTGTGTTCAGGGGACTGTGTTCCGTATATTAGCGTGCCTCTGCCACCCTGCCGCCCTGACAGACAACCTGTGGTTCTGCCTGAAGGACTGACTGCACAGCCCTTCTCACATGTCATGTTTGGTACTGTATACGAAGAGATGTTTCCAGTCGGTGGATTCCGGCGCACGATGCGGCAACCTGTTCTGCAGGGTTGGTTGCGGTCACACGGGAATCTGGATCGTAAAAGTGGCAGTGTCGGAAGACGGGGGATGTGCAAGCAGCAAATCATGCGGAAGGGGTCGTCAGTGACAAGGCCAGCTCTGCAGCAGCTCCACCGTTCCCAGCAAGCTTCTTAACGAGTGCAGGAGGAGCGCACCAGAGTTGGATGCATGGCAGAGTGCGAAACACGGGCTGATTGCCATGCCGCTCTCTTGCATATTGCTCTATCATAGCCTCGGGGACAGAAGAAGCTTGCTTTCTACAACTGCGATCCCTGGAACGATTTTCGTTTTTGAACAGCCGAGGCCATTGATCGACCGCCAACGGTGGGCTTCGCCGAATGCTGTCGCTCGGACTGCTTTGCTGGCCCCCTTCACGGCAGAAGCCGCTGTTGTTTGCTGTCGCATCTTAGGTCTTTTCACCGGCAACAACACCGGTAATGGCGTCGCTGATCGCTTTTGCTTCTCGAAAGATGTGACGCGCACACCACAACCTGGAGATCTCATGGATACGACTCATGGTTGGATTGATGTGGAGGGTAGCCAGAAAAAGCATGACGATTGTGGAGGGTGTGGGCAGTTGCTCATGTCCATGCTCAGATCCCTCCTCAGGAAGGCTCGGATACTGGTTGTGTCTGCTTAGGACTGTGACCGTACTTCCGGTGCCTTTCCTGGGCTACCTCACGCTGTCCTCCAAGACTGTCGGTGTGGTGGCAACGGCCGAGATGGGATTGTGCCTTCCCTGGACGCACCTCGACAGAAATCATGTTCTGCTCTCGTGTCCAATGCCAGTGCCGGTTTGAGTGGTCACCAGCCATGGGAGTGTTTTTTTGTTCACTTGCTGATCTCTGAGTTGTATTGTCTGGTGAGGTGGTGCGGATTCGTCATAAAGGACTGCAGCGGTGCTATCCTTTACAAAATCGAAGCATCCTGTCGGGAAGCTAGCATCCGGCCTCAGATAGAAATTAGAAGCCCCCGTTCATCGCTTCAAGGTAGACACTTTGCCGGACGTTGATGGCGATGGGACAGTGCCTCTTGTCCTGACCACACAGTTTCGTCATCTAAAGGGGACAGGGTGCTCCCCCTGTCTCCCGCTCAGTCAATCGATGTAGAATGTTCTAAGAACTGGCAGTGCTAGAGCTTGACCTGGACCTGGCTAAGGCTACCAGGTACGGCTGGATTGAGCTATGTTATCAAAGATGCTGTGGCAGAGCAGCAAGATGCCAGAGCAGTGGCTCAGCCTGATGCATTCGGCAACCGAGGGTGGGTCGTACATCGGTCGAAGCAGCCATCTGACAGACGGCTATGAGCCCATCCGGCTTCTGGATGCTGAGAACACACAGGCAATTTTCAATGTCCATGTCTGTCTCCGGTGTGACAATCGAGACACTACTGGTGTACTGGGCTGTGCTCCGTTTTCACAACAGGTCTCCATGCTCATCACAGCAGCTGGGTTTTGGCGACGGACGTTTTTCCCGCTCCGTTGGTTTGCCAGGAACCTGGCAGAGTGCTGTACCTCGGAAGCGACGTGCACCAAAGTCGATTCCTGCAAGGTCAACACCGCTGTCACGGGACAGCCCGTGACTCCTGCAAGAGCTTCTAGCTTGCGGGATTCTGCCAGATCTGCCAAGTAATTCCAATAGCATTTCAACATGTCTCCGCTCGCCAGGCATCAGCGGCGCCTCTTGCAGATCCACGGCTGCTCACCATGATGGTCACCTTCCAGTTCCGCAATCTGGGAGCCTCAATGGTCAATGCCAAGTGCCCTCTGTAGAGTTTCCCTAGACCCTAAAAACCCTTAAACCCTAATCCGTTAATGCCTTGTATTGAAGGATACTTTGGCATCTTCTGGATTCTTCTCCTGGTGATCGTCGTGCTGGCTGTGTACTTCTACCTCAAGAGGTGCCCCCGCGTGCTCGCAAGATGCCGCTGTCTGTAGCGTTGCCCTGTCTCCTCCTTGTGGTAAACGGGCATGAGATTCTTCTGACTGGCAGCTGCATGGCCGCATGCCCTCCCATTCTGCAGGAGCAGGGGGCTGACCTACGATGGTGGCTTCAGCATTCGTGGCGCTTGCTTCAGGGGCTTGCCCTACTATTCTTATGCTGACGAAGAGCAGGAGCATCTTCTTGATGTAGACGCGTGCCAGACTCCTTCCATTTTAAGTCTCGCTTTGGGCCGACTCGCTGCAACGTGTTCGCAGTCTTCGCAGGAGTTTCTGGCTGGCGGCGATGGAGGAGGCTGCTGCACTGGACGAGACAAGAAGGCGCAGGCCATTGCCACCGCACAGCTTCTTACCATAGACAGCTGAAAAATCAGTAGTCAGCCTTTGAATCAGAAGCCACGCATCAGAACCAGCCGCGCATCAGAAACTGCGCATCGGCAACTGTCGGGCATGCAATCAAGCGAGCTCGCGCATCGGAGACCAGAACTGTGCCTTGGAAACCGCGCATCGGAATCGGGAAACTGGCGCGGCTGGTGTGCATTGGAAACAGCGCTGCGGAAACCGATGATGCCACCTACATGATAGCGTTCATGCTACAGTACCAGTGCATCCAGAACACACTCCATAACAAAGAGCATCCATGCTCGAACGATGATAACGTCCCCGCTAGCAGTGCATGCGAAACCAAGAGCAGCCGTGCCCGCCTTCGAAACCTCCTGCATCCAAAACCAAGAGCGTCCGTGCCCAAACGATGACTGCTACCAGTGCATCCACTCCGAAGAGCATAAATGCCCGAAGGATGACAATGTCCATACTCTCAGTGCGTCCAACTTCCGCAAATTTTGAAAACATGAGAGCGAGATCAGTAATTTTCCTGGCTTCCGAATCACCTGTTCTGGGTTCACCCGTCTGCTTCCCGAATCAACGGTTCTTGGTAGCCGTCTGGGTAGGCGAATGAGCCGTTCTGGCTTCCGAGCCACTCTGCTGGTTTCTGAGTCAGTTGCTCTGGTTCCCGGAGTGTCCGGCTTCTGGAGCTCACCGGTGGTTTGTAGCAGTGCGCCCCCACCCGGCGCACCCTTGACCTGGAAAATTGTCCAGCACATCGCTTGGCAGAACTCCTGGGCCTCCTCGTTGATGCTGGTGAGCAGCCCGGCGGGTGAAACTCTCTGAAGGTCACTGGGCCGCAGAGCCTTGGGGAGTCATTTTCAGAGAGGTTCGTCGGTCGTTTCACGAAGCTTTCTGCCAGCCGAGGTGAGGAGAAGACCCGTGGCTCTGATGGTTTTTTCTTTTAAAACCATCCGAGCCTGCACTCACTCAGCTGGAACTTCGCATGAGCTTGCAGAATGTGCCCGGTGACCGGTTCATTCCTTTGGGTTGTTGGGTCGTCAGGTTTCTGCCACATGCAGTAGAGGTACCACAGTTGAAAGTTGGAACACTGAATTGCCCTTTTTACCCGTGCTCCATTGGTCCATGCTTTGGGGGCACACACTTGCAAGTTGGAGCAGTATGTGATAACCTGTGTCCCGCTGAAGGGTACTTGTGTTCCAACTTTCTGAGTTCTACTGCAGCTCTAAGCTGAACCCAGTCGGTCCGACATGTGAAATCGTCGCGGGCGGTTATCTCTGACGCGCGCTCTTGCAAGCACAAGTGGCCGTGAGGGTATTTCTGTCAAGCGCAGGTTCACTTGGTGTTCGTTTTGGAGGTTTCACGTTCGGACTGGAAGGCATTTCTTCACTTGGGTTAGAGATGCCATGACCACAAAATGTGCCATGGCTAGGAAACTGAAGTGCGAGTTAGTCGAATCGGTCGGTGGTTCAGAACCAAAGCAGCTGTTCCACATCGAACTAGTTGATGCGTCTTAGACGTCAAACAAGCTTTGCTGGAAAAGGGCCTGAATGATGGGTGCTTTTGATTGAGCTGCAATGCGCGTCGTTCTTTTGACATTGCCTGCTTGCACGAAGTCTGGAGTTCAACAGAGCAAGTCGGTTCAGCCGCGTGGAGCGAAGATGAGGTTCGCCCGGCTCCCTGAGGACTGCCGGCCGGAGCAGCGGGCCGCGGCCTCGGAAGGCACGTAGAGGCATCGCACCGGTTTGAGGTCAGCAGTCTCTCTGCTGCCTTGCATATGCTGCAGGTCACGGTTTCGGTGGCTCGGACTCTGCCGCAGACCGGCGGCGGTGGTAGGTGGGCTCCGTTCACGATGTTGTTGGGTGTGGCTTCTGCTGTTTCTTGGTGATCAAGGCTGACTTTGGAGAGATTGGACATTCTTCCCGACGGCGAGTGCGACTCCCGGCCCTCTGTTCTTGCTTACGGAGCTTTCGCAGCTCGAGGCTGCAAAGAGATTGTAAACGCTTCGCGTCGTCCCTCTCGACCCAGAGAGTAGTCGGATTGCCTAGACCCGATCGAAATCCCACGACCCTGCCCTGGCCACAGACCAGAGAAACAGTGAGCTTCTCTAAGAAACCTCAGGGCCTACGTGGGGCGAAGTTGCCGGGCGGGGCTTGCGGGGGGCAGGGGAGGGAGGTAGATTCACCGCTTCAAAACGCCAGTCTATCGGCCGGAGCTCGTCTCCTGTGAGGTGCATTTGTCCGCAGCTTCCGGAAGGTGCAGGCTCCCAAACCTGCAGTGACCTGCTCTTAGGCTTGCAGAAAGCACAGGTCTGCATCTTTTGTTAGGTACAGGTGCGGAGTATCCCGTCCATCTCAGCGGAGCTGTGTTTGGTGTTCCAGCTGGGTGCTTACGTGCTGTCCCTCTCATAAAACTTCAACGCCCAGGGATCATACGTGGCTCCTCAGGTGCGAGCCAAAGAGCTGCCAGAAGGCCATACATTTGGGCATTGGAAACGAGAGCACTCTAGGACCTCGTTTTTTGTACCTCAGAAACTTCGATGGCCGTGTGCAATCACCTCATGGGGCGCTTGGGAATGAATCGAATGGTATGCCAGATCCTGCAGCTGCCGCTTCCTTGGGGCCAAGCCCTCAGTCGTTCTGAAACTCTGCCTCTGCTTTCGGACTTTCGAGTTCCAGTCTGCCTCGCTTCTCAGACAAGAGGTGCGAGTCTGGTTCCGCGCGCAGGGAGGTCGTTCCCCTCGAACGACAGGAGCGTTCTTCAGAAGCTCTTCCTGTCCTGTGAGGATTCCCCGGCCTCAACTTGGAAGCGTTTCCAGGCCTGCTTCTGTCATCGCAGTGTTCCCTGATCACCTTGGGAATGCAGGAGCTGGAGGAAAGGGACCGCAGATTTCGGAACAAGCCTTGTGCTTGGGGCCCGCGACGAATATGATTGACGGGCTGCCTCAATGCCGATCGAGGTTTCAAAGCATCGCAGAGTTTCAGCAGCAGGAAACTCAGCAGTTCGACTCAACGATGCACGTGCTTTTTCGTAGCAAGCCCAAGTCACAAGCTAGGACGTATGGGATACATTTTCGTTTCGATTGTCCGTGGCCCCACAGAGACGATTGGTGCAATTGCCTCCCTGTCTCCCTCCTGTCTCCTGTGGCAAGAGCCGAGTGTGCCCAGGTTCGAGCGAACCCTGCAATGGTTCCGGGCGCACGACTGCACAGAGTGCTTTGCTGAGCTGTTCTGGTAAAGTCACAGCTCCAACGGCCGTGTAGGCATGCTCAGTCCCGTTGCAGGAGCCACCGGCTGACCCACTCTTGCTTCAAAGGAGCTTGTCTTTCGGCTTCGAATCGAATCGCCATCGCCATTTGCGATTTAGCACATTAGGACGCTCCGACTTCACGCAGACAGGCATGCTCGTGCAGACCTTGGGACCCTGGCCGGCCGTCGGCACAAGAGTTTTGAGAGGTGTCCGCTGCCGAAGACATCCCAGGTGTTTGACACAGAAGAGGACCTCGAAGGGTTGAACAAGGCAGCTGGGCTGTCAAAAAGAGTTCTGTGTACATGAACTTGTGTGTGTGTGTGTGTGAACTCCTCTCGTACATGAGGTAAGGGATTCACAATCCACACTCGCAGATGTTGGCCATTGCCGATTTTATTTCTGAGCAGGGGGGCAAGGGCTCCAGTGACAAGCCTTGCCCAACGAAGCCAAGTCACTGGAGTGGATGCAGTGGCTGATCACCACTGTGTAC